TCAAGAAAAATTATGTGTTTTTTTTTATTAAAAACAGATACAAAAATCATAGTATTTTAATATTTATCAGGTATCATAGCAGTATGGTATTGGTATTTAACTTATTTAGAGAGACTTAGTTTCTCAAATTCATTATTTTATTAACCTTTTTTAAATGAATATAGTTATCATTTGTTAATAGCTCGTGCATCATTGTACATTTGAGCCGTTAATTTTACTAATCAATTTTTTATAAGAATGATATAGTTTTCTAATATTAGGAGCTATTTAAGAAATCCAGATTTGTAAGTTCCACGTCGAAGACGAGTGGTAGAATCATTGAACCAAACTTTTACAAATTTACTAATAAAATTATCGTGATTCGACTAATATATAAATTATTTTCCTAAAATTCTCTCCTTCACAGTTTTACTAATCAAATTATCATATGTGATTCGACGAATATATGAACTATTTTCCTAAAGTTCCCTCCTTCCTTCCCCAAGGCTTCTCTAACATATGGTTGTGCTCTGGTTGAAATCTTTTCCTCCACCACCATGATAAAAAAAAAAGGATGCTTACACCCTCTTCTTCCTTAATGCTCCTTTCTTTCATATTCTTATTCTTCACCTCAAATCCTCTCCCTCTCTACATTGCCATTCCAATTTTTGGCAAATTCCAGGTATTTTTGTCCTCTCTGTTGGTTTGTTTAATAATTTCCTCCCAATCATATACTCCCATTTACAGATTTGTGTATTCTGCTGCAGTCTCCTGTTTGTTTATATGTTTAGTTTCTGAATTCTGATTGATGGCTTTTTATTCCTTTCCGTCCATTACGCTATTACAAACTCTCCATGGATAGAGCCGTCCCTTCTTTTACTTCTACTATAGCATTGACTTGACTGTTAAAGACTTGGACTTTGCTGGTAACCCCACATCCATCCCCTCCTTCCTGTTTTCATCTCAATCCCCGTATTATTTATGACACGCCTTTTACCTGTTTGTATAAATGTCAAAACGAGTTTTCGCCTTGGTGGAATTGCCTCCATTTGTGTGTTGTCTCTGACTTTGCTTACTGGGGTCTGTTCTGTTCTGTTCTGTTCTGTTCTGCACTTCGGCTTTTGAAGGTTCCCCACTTTTCCTTCTCCTCCCTTGGGTACTGTTTTTACTTCTTGAGGAATTGGTGAATGGTGATGGTGAAATGAAGCTCCTTTCTCCTTCCTCTTTTGCTTACTTTCAGCTTTCCTTTTCTGGGTTGTGCATGGTTCTGTTCTTATTATTAGTCTTCTCTGGCGCTTGTCTATAGATGGTTTTCTTCTGTTTTGAATGTTCGATCATAGAAAGGAATCTAAGTTGGGTTCTTTGCCCATTTTAAAAGAGTTCTCAAGCTACTGATCAAGTTCTGTATCTTTAATTAACCGATCAACCTCTGCTGCTTCAATCAACCCATACTTTCCCCTGGCTTCATAAAGCTTGTATTTTGCAGGAAAAGTGCAGGCATGAATGAACTTGATCCTTTAGACTATAGCTTTAATCAATTACTTGCCCTGCCTAGATCCGCTAGTGGGTTCTTAAATTTCCACCACATTTCGTGTTTTTGCTCTACTTTGAATATGGTTTTTGTTCCATGCCTAAATTATACCCTTAGGCCTCTCAAAGCTTGTTCCTTTCTCCTTTCTTGCTTATCATGATGTGCTGTTTTGCTTATCCATATTCTGAAAAACAGAGGAACTTGGCGATCGCTTGCAAAAGGCTAAAAGCCTCCTTCCGTATCCATGTCCAGAGGAAAGCAGATACTGACTGAAGATGAAGCAGCTGGAGATTCCATAACTAGAAATGACCTCTCTCCCAGCAAGAGAGGGAAACTTGTTGTAGTTGGAACTTCTTCTTCAAGTAGTGGTCAGAGCATACCTCTAAAATTTCCCTCCCCAGAAAGAAACGTCACTTGTGAAACTCTTTCCATGATTTATCTCCACGAAACCACCACAAGAGTTGTTGTTGGCAGTTCATCATCATCTTCCAGTGTTGTTGAACCTCAGGATGCAGATTATTACTATTATCCTTCCAATGATCTCCCTTCTCTTAGCGACGAGCTGGAGAACTTGATCTTGGCAAGGATGCCAAGATCAGAGTACTGGAAGCTGCTGTTTGTTAACAAGAGGATCTTCTGGCTGGTGAAGAGTGGTGAGCTGTTCAGGATCAGGAGGGACATTGGTGTTAGAGAACCATCTGTTTTCATTTTTGCCACCGGGGATAATAGCTGGTGGGGATTCGATCGACAGTTCAGTACAAGAAGACAGCTCCCTCACTTGCCAGCTGATCAGTGCTTCTCTTCTGGTGACAAGGAATCTGTCTGTGCTGGAACCCATCTCATCATTTCAGGTATGGAAGGGAGTGTTCAAAAGGATCCGGGTAAACATTGTAACATTTTTAATCGGTGGAATTTAGGTGAATTTGGTTTGGTTCATGATTTTTTTTCCATGTCAAACTTTTTAATTGATTTGGTTAGGCTGAAACTCATCTCATCTTTCAGGTAAGGGGTGTTCAAACTATTGGAGGTAGTTTGGTTAATCTGGTTCTCTTAGTTGGTGTTCTTTGGTCAAATTTTTAGTTAAGTTAGTTTAAGTGGATTAGGTTATGTACCACCAATCCACCAATGTAACTTTTGGTTAGATGTTGATTTTGGTCGGTTTAGTTGAGTAATTAGATTAATTTCCGCGCTTAAATGGTTCGGTTGTAGCCAAAAACTAACCATCGACTTTCAGGAAGGGAGATAGAGGGAGTGGTGGCATGGAGATACCAGCTGGAGACAAACACATGGAACAAAGGCCCCAACATGATCCAACCGCGGTGCTTATTCGCCTCATCCTCATGTGGCGCCACATCATCAGCCTACGTGGCCGGCGGGGTCACCGAGACCGGCTCCGAAGTCCTCAACACCGCCGAGCGCTACGAATCCCGCACCAACACGTGGCACCGTCTGCCACGCATGCACAAGCGCCGAAGGCTCTGTTCGGGTTGCTACATGGACGACAAGTTCTACGTCCTCGGTGGCAGGAACGAGTCAAACCAGCTCCTCGCGTGCGGGGAGGCCTACGACCACGTGACAGCCACGTGGGAGCTGATCCCCAATATGTTGGAGGTCGATGCGCCAACCGAGGTGGCGAGTTTTCAGTCGCCGCCGTTAATCGCGGTGGCGAACAACGAGCTATACTCGTTGGAGACCTCGACCAACGAGCTCAGAGTGTATGTTAAGAGGAGCAGGAGCTGGAGGAGGATGGGGAGCGTTCCGGTGCGGGCGGATTCACACAAGGGTTGGGGTGTGGCGTTTAAGAGCTTGGGGAATGAGCTTGTGGTGATAGGTGCTTGTGACTCGGGAGATGGGATGGCGATTTACAGCTGTTGCCCTCCTGGTGGTGGTGATGATCAAGGTGATCGTGAGCTTGAATGGAGGCCGCTTGGATGTGGCAGGAATAGATTGAGTAACTTCATATTTAACTGTTCTGTGATGGTGGCTTGATTTCCTGGTTTTCCTTAGGGGTAGTTGATTGGAGAGAATGATGTTTTAGGGTTTTCTTTGCTGGTTTAGGGTTCCTATTGGGGATGATATGCTTGCCTAACTTCATTGGCAAGTGTGTTGGTATGTATGCTTATATGTTGTAATCTCTCGGTATTTGATTCGAGGTTATAATATGTGTATCTGTATATTTAAATAAATATTTAAAAGTATAAAAGGATAGATTATTAATTCCTCTCCTTCGACACTCCTATTCAACTCTAGAAGTTGTTGGTATATTGGGTTTCCTTTGAAGCTCCAAAACTGCTGATATATAGGATGCATCTGGTTTTTAGGCCTTGTTCATCTTTGAAGGAATAACATTTTTTGTGGCATGCAGTGGTGTACGTGGAAGCTTTTCTTTATGCAGGTGTGTACTTGTACTGATGCTGGAGTCTTGATTCTTTAGTCTGGGTGGAGGACAATAATAGAGAGCAACTGTGTAACCCAAAAGAGACTTGATATCAAATTTGGGCACCTGGCATACAAAAGAGACCTCAAGAACAGGGAGGCTGTCTTTTGACTTTTGAGGATGGTGCTTCAAATGGTAACATGAATCACATGATTGTCCTATCTTTGGGTTGGGACATAAACAGGGGAGTAGAAAGAACAAGGATGCCCTATGGATAATGGATAGAATAGAAGAGAATTTAGAGGGTGTTCATGTATTTTATTTTCCTCTTTCGTTTTGGTTAGTTGAACACGACAAAAAAATTACACCAGTTAACCTTTTTGTTATTTGATTTTCAATAAGAAGGTCTCTACTTTCATAAAAGTACTTCGGTAAATAAGAATTGAACTTCTAATTTATCGATACAAAGACAAATATTTTTATTAGCAAGATTTATACGCCACCTAACAATTAACATGAATTGCAATTTCTACCTAACTTGCTATCCCATGCAAAAGTGCTCCTTTCATGTCTCATCTTATCAGAACCTACTACACGAATTTCCTCGTTCCAAAATCCAAAGAGGACAATTTTCTTCTATTCAACTACTCTTATAGTTGTGTTTTGGCCATGATCTAACAACTACTATTAAGTTCTTAAATCTTAATCTCCTTCATAATTGGATACTCACACTAAAGTCTGTCTTTTTATTAGTTTTAACAATAATCCTCTAATCATATATCAAGATGTCCCAAAATGTTCTCACTATACGTGAAATGATTTATCTAGCCAAATTGAACTCACTTCTATATGATCATACGTATTATGAATACGGTAATATTCGTTTCATTCGGGTTCAGCCCATTCGCCGTGGGAAGGGATGCGCCAGGACCCCTGAGCCCAGTTCAAGCGAAGCTCTTAACAGCTGAAGGCCCGGTAACTTGGTACGTTACCAGCCCATATAGTAAGCCCAGGCCCGTGTGAATCACATTTCATCCTACTCTAGCGCACTCTCTCTCTCTTTCTCTCTCTTCAGTCGAGAAATCACCCAACGGAATGCTCTCTGATAGAGAAACGAAAAGACGAAACCGAGAAGAAAACAAATCCAGAGAGAGAGAAGGAGACGGAGGAGAAAAGGAAGGTTTCTCTCTCTTCTTCTCCCTTCCGCTTCAGCAGCAAGCATCAAGAGCAGCAGCAGCAGAGCTCAACTGAATCCACTGCACCTTTCGCTTTTTTTCTGCTCTGCGCAGAGTAAGATCTTCGAATTCTCCATTCCAGACTTTCTCTTTTGCCCTCCCTCAGCTTTCATTTCCAATAAGTCTGTGCGAACTGCAAAATTTCTGATACTTTCAGTCTCGTTCTGCTCCTCTTCCCAGTTGAACGAATTGGAACTGCCTATTTTCAATTGAGATTGGTTTTCCGCGGGAACGAATTTAGGGATTCGGTTTATGTTGGCTTTCATTTCTGGCAGCAGGGAGGGTTTTCTTGGTGATTTATGTTGATTTCCTCACTTCAGTGGGGAGGAATCCTGTGAGTTATATGGTCCCAATACTCGGTTTCCAGTTGTTTATGTAGAGCGTTGTTGCCTGTTGGCCATTCAGAGGGCTGAACTGCTGCGGAGCTAGGTTTTAGAGTTATCTTATTAGAGGTTAAGTGAGTAGTTGAAAACCAAATGTCTGGTGGTGGCAATAACAACAACCCGCCAAAGAGCCTGGGGCAGTCTTCATCTCCATTTGGGAATGTTGGGATACTCAACTCATCTCCGGTGCCTACGAATCAAGGGTTCCCACAGTCACAAGGGCAGCAGCAGGGACAGATTAGTGTAGGGTTCCAGAACCAGTTCCAGCAGCTGTCTCAAGCTCAAGCTAGCGTCCAAGCACAGCTGAAAGCACAAGCAGCCCATGCTGCTCAGGTTCAAGCACACGCCCAGTTCCAAGCGCATTTACAAGCGCAGGGGATCTCCCTCAATCAGGGCCAGAATGCTGGGATGGGAGGAGGCTTCGGGACTTCCTCCTCGACTTCATTTGGCACCCCTGGGTTGGCCAGCAGTGCAAAGCGGGTTGGTCAGAAACCACTGGGAAGACCTCCTGGTATTCCCATGAACAACATGGTCTCTCCTCCCAAAATGATGGATTTAACTCCAGCTAATCGTAAGAAGAAGCAGAAGGTGCCAGAGAAGCAGCTGCATGAGAGAGTGGCGGGGATTCTTCCAGAGTCTGCACTTTATACGCAGCTTCTCGAATTTGAGTCCCGTGTTGATGCTGCTCTAGCTAGGAAGAAAGTTGATATTCAGGAGGCACTTAAGAGTCCTCCATCTGTTCAGAAAACACTGAGGATCTATGTCTTCAACACGTTTGCCAACCAGATCAAAACAATTCCCAATAAACCGAATTCCGAACCTCCTTCCTGGACTTTAAAAATTGTTGGGAGGATTTTGGAAGATGGAGTGGATCCTGACCAGCCTGGTGTACTTGCTCAGAAACCGAATCCCTTGTTACCAAAGTTCTCGTCTTTCTTCAAGAGAGTGACCATATCATTAGATCAAAGACTATATCCAGATAATCACATGATCATATGGGAGCAGGCTCGCTCGCCTGCTCCACATGAAGGTTTTGAAGTGAAGAGGAAAGGAGAGAACGAGTTCACTGTTCATATTCGCTTGGATATGAATTATGCGCCTGAGAAATTTAAGCTATCTCCAGCTTTGACAGAAGTTCTTGGTATCGAGGTAGAAAGCCGCCCTAGAATAATTGCTGCAATCTGGCATTATGTAAAAGCTAGGAAACTGCACAGCCCAGATGACCCTGCTTTCTTTAACTGTGATCCACCTCTTCAAAAAGTATTTGGGGAGGCAAAAGTGAAGTTCACTATGGTTTCGCAGAAGATATCTCAGCATTTATTTCCTCCACAACCGATCCATTTAGAACATCAGATTAAGCTCTCAGGGAATAGTCCTGTGGGGACAGCCTGCTATGACGTGTTGGTAGATGTGCCATTCCCAATTCAAAGGGAATTGACAGCATTGTTAGCGAATGCGGAGAAGAACAAGGAGATTGATGCATGTGATGAATCAATATGTGGTGCCATCAGGAAAATTCATGAGCATCGTAGAAGACGAGCATTCTTTCTTGGGTTTAGTCAATCACCAGTTGAGTTTATTAATGCTTTAATTGAATCACAAAGCAAGGACTTGAAGCTTGTAGCTGGAGAAGCCAGTCGAAGTGTTGAGAAGGAACGCCGAGCAGAGTTTTTCAATCAACCATGGTAAGAGTCCACTTAAATTTTCTTCTTGAATCTTGATAATATGAATCAATATCTAGATATGGTAGATGAACTGATTTAACCCTGCGTAGTCATCTCCTTAGGTCTATTGCATTGCCCTTGCTGCATCTATTCACGAATTGGTTGGTTCAATTGTGCTGTGTACTCTCTCTTTACTGCCTTCCGCTTGGAAAGAGAAAAAAGAAGAAAGACTTGAAATTGAAATGTTATGTTCCTAGGAATATAGCTGAATTTTGGATGCAGTAGGAATATAGGAGAATAGGATGATGTAATCATGACCTGTACGTCCATGCAACCTTCTATTCAAAACTGATTTTTTTTTTTTGGGCGAATTGTGCAGGGTTGAAGACGCTGTAATCCGATACTTGAACCGCAAGCCTGCTGCAGGAAGTGAAGCTCCTGGAAGTGCATAATTTTATAAAATGGGTTTCCATCTTGCTTGCTCATTAAGTGGTGGATGATTTAACCTAGGATGTTTTAAGTTATGATCCAAATTTGTTGAGAGGAAGAGGAATCGCTCCATGCTTGTATAACCAGAATTCTGCTCTGCACTGTAGCTCTTTCTTGAAATAGGAATTATGCTTGTGGGTCTATTCTATACATGTATTGGATCCCAGAATCAGAATGTAGTTCGTTGGCAGTTGTGTTAATGGCAGAAAGGTGGCGAGGTTCGTAGCCCTTTTCTTCCCTTCTCGTCTTTTGTTTTGCCTGGGACTGTCGTGAGATATAGTAGCAAACAGAAGTTGACCGAAATCATTTACATGTTAATTTATCAGATACATTAGGGAGTTGTTGGTTGCAGTGATTTTGATACTGGCTAGTCATAATGATTTTACCATGTACTTGTGATGAGTCTGTGCCTGTTAAAGTTTGATATGATTGTATTGTTATTTTAGAGTTTTTTAGTATCTGGTTCTCTGCTCTCCGTCTTTGCAAATCTTTAGTTTCATTGATTCTATCTCCAGTGACCAGTGTGGTTAAACAAAGATTAACAAATTGGATGATAATTTTGGTTTAGATCTATCCTAAAGAATGTGGAATTGTAGATCATCCTTTGTTTGACAAAGAAGAATGAGGTCAAATTTCACTAAATTTCATCTTATACACAAACCCCTGGCGCGTAAGAGTCGTAATAGAGAGAGCCCAAATTATAAAAATACACCAGGCCTGGCTCGGCTTAGAGAAAGCACAAACGTAAAGCGATATAGACATTGGATATGCAATTTGGTGTCCAGTCCAGCCTAGGGTGTGCAATGGTTCGACCGGACCAAACTCACTAGAACCGCGGTCCATTAGTGAAAGACATGTTAGGACCAAGGATCGGACCATTCTTGCATTTGGTTCATTTGGTCCGGTTCGGTCCGGTCCAAATATGAGCTCGGTCCACCATTTCTTCAGTAATTATAAAATTCATTAGGAACAAGGACCGGACCGTATTTTACTCAGTCTGGTCCGGTCCGGTCTTAACAACGGTTTGGTCTGGTACGGACCGGACCATTGCACACCCCTACTCCAGCCCATGGAGAACTTCCTCTTTCCAGCCACCCGGACCTATAAATACCAGGCAAGAATTGGCGGGAGAGGGCAGAAACCAGTGTCGGTCACTAATTCTTACTCCACTTCGAAAATTCGAAAATGGAGAACTCGGGAGAAAAAGCTCAGCCGTCCTGGCGCAAGCAAGTGGACGACAACCTCAAGCGCCTTCACTCCCTCCAATTCGGCGCCGATCAGGCACTGGAGAAGGGCGATTCCTCCACCGCATACGTGCTCGGTCTCCGCCTCCTCGGCTTCCTCGACTCGCACTCTCTCACCGACGTCGACGAAGCTCTTACTCGCCCCATCCGCCGCGAAGCCCTCTCCAAGCTCGACGCCGCTCGCCGAGCTTTCGTTCCTGAATCCGACCGGTAAAACGATTCGAAATTTCCGTTTTCTGTTTCTCCGATAGTTCGTCGTATTCTATTTCGCTGTAAGCACGTTCTAGGGATTTCGAATCAGTTCGCGATTTCAGTTATCGGTATTTGGAATTTGGTTTAGGCGAGCGTTTGAGCGAGCAGATACAGCTCCTGGAAAAGTATTTGGCAAGAAGATTGACATTGACGTAGAGAAGATTAAGAAGTCGAAATACTTCCGAGCTCTTGTTCAACAACAGAACATCAAGCATCCATCAGATCTGGTAAGAGTGCAAATCGAACCTAGATTTCTCTGTATTCTTGAATTTCTAAGTGGTATATCTTAGTTGACCAATGTCAATGAATTGAATGCGCTTTTCTGGTCATAAGTTTGCCATCCAAATCAGTATATTGAATTTCTAGCTCAGTCTATCTGCATAGAAGCGTGATGTCTTGTATCCTGTTTTAAGATTGAGTATTGTTGTGACCATCTGATATGATATCGATCGTATCTCTTCTTCTTGCCAGGGAAACCAGCTGGATAAGCAGCAAAACCCCAGCTGCAAGCCTGCAAAAGTTTCAGGGCAGGCTAAGTTAACATCACTGTATGGGAATAATGTCACAAAGGCCTATGGCCGCTTACAACGAGGTTCTTCTGTTCCCAAAAGTAACTCGAATGTGGATTGCATGATAGTGAAAAGTACCCAGTATACTAATCCTAGAAGTAATGGTGGTCTGTCAAACTATGGGAAAGCTGACGAGAGAGAAAAGGGTTATGGAAATACAACGGGGTCTAAGCGTTCGTTCATGGAGATTAATAGCCCTAGAAATGACATTCCAAAGTCGCCATCATGTGATGAGGATTCAAATGTGGATGGTTCTGGCAAGGGATTTGTAACTGCAAGGGCAAAGCTGGTATGTGTTCTCTTCTGAAACTCTTACGCTTCTCATATTTTCACTAGTTGTGTAATCGAGAGAAGGAGATAGTTATGTTAAGACTCGATTAGTGTTCCAGCATAGATGTGAAGTGTCATTTTAACTTTTGTCCGTGATGATATTGAAACATTGTGTTGGCTGAGAACTCACGCCTTCAATCTTTCGGTTCTATGTTCACCTAATTTCTTCAAATTATAGTCACACTGTCTCCAATTGATAATAGGAAATGGATGCAAGGCAAAAGCAAGGGTTGACAGGATCACCAAGTGCATCCTTCTCCCCACAGAGAAACGTCATCAACCGAGGTTATGGTGCACGATCTTATGGGCATTCAAACCGTGGAATCCGTGGAAATTTTGTTCCTCCAATTAAATCAAATGGGGGATATAATCCTGGAAATGTGATTGGACTTCAAGGAAAGAACGATGACTCAACAAGGAGATGGTAAGCTATATGCAACTGTTTGTCTCTTTATTTTAAAGTACTTGGAAGGAAGTTCAACCATCTGTGGTGTCTTGCATTATCCACTAATCATGGACTGAACCATTGCTGAAAATATCATTTCTCTTTCTGGTCTTTCTTCCGCACTGCAAATTTTTCAGTACAATTGTCAGATAGACAAACATATAGGGATGCTTTCTCTGTCCTAACGTGTTATCCGTCCATGTTAGTATGGAATTGCTATGTGGTCCAGATGGCGAGCTTCCTGAAAAGTTGAGGAACTTGGAACCAAGTCTTATTGAGCATGTCAGCAATGAAATTATGGAGAGGGATCCTAATGTTCGGTGGGATGATATTGGTAACACAAAAGACTCGAATCCTCTTGTTATACTACAACTACTGTTGCAATTTGTAAAATTTTCATTTGGCTTCCTTGAAAACACTGCAGCTGGATTGGATCATGCTAAAAAGTGTGTTACTGAAATGGTGATTTGGCCACTGCTGCGACCTGACATATTTAAAGGCTGTCGCTCTCCAGGAAGAGGTCTTCTTCTATTCGGTCCACCGGTACGTACTACCTGTAGTTAGAACATAATGGAGACTTACTGCTTCTTATTTTACTTGAGACGCTCTCATCTCAAAAGGGTACTGGGAAGACAATGATTGGGAAAGCCATAGCTGGGGAGGCAAAAGCAACTTTTTTCTCCATATCCGCCAGTTCTTTAACCAGCAAATGGGTATGCATTGATCAACCTCTGACGTTATAAACGGACGGTGGATCTTTGACAAGCTTTATTAATTCAATCTCTGAACAATTTGTACAGCTTGGCGAGGGTGAAAAGCTGGTGAGGGCCCTATTTGGTGTTGCCTCTTGTCGTCAGCCAGCTGTAATTTTTGTCGATGAGATAGATTCACTTTTGTCCCAGGTATCGTTCCTTCCAGCCCCCATGTTTAGTTTAGTTTTTTGCACTTAAAAAAGCACTTAATGGGATAAGGAAAACAAGAGGCGAGTGACACATCGTGCTACCTATGTTTAATGAATTGTCTTTGTGCATGCGATCAAGTCATTACTTGTGAGATTCCATTAATAATAGTATAAAGCTATGTTATTCCATTTTTGCAACAGAAAGAGGTCATTCGTTGCCAATATACTTTCTCACTTAGAGGGAAAACCTTGAATATGGTTGCAGCGCAAGTCTGAAGGTGAACACGAAGCTAGTAGACGTCTGAAAACGCAGTTTCTTATCGAGATGGAAGGGTTTGACAGTGGTAACGAGCAGATTCTGCTAATAGGTAAATACTTAGCAGCCCTATATATCATGCATATTGCAGTTTAAGATAAAGTTGCTGTCGTCTTTTCCACCAAAAAACCTAGACTGAAAAGGAGCAACATAGACGGCTCTCTATGCTGTCAGCTTCCCACTTCCCCGCACTTTCCTGCGTCTGTGTTCACTTATTTCCTCACTATCTATGGTGTCCCATGTGATATATATCAGCTTACATGTAGGACAAAAGTCAGTAGGCCAGTATCGTTTTGTTGGGTGGACTTCCTTTTCTGTTTCGATGAAAGACACTCAACTAATGGTTCAGTTTCTCTGTTGCACGTATTTCCTTTCGCTTGTCTTGTGCATGTCTCTGCCAAAACATGCTCAAGTATCGGCCATTTCAGCCGGTCATTTAGTTCCCAGGTACCGTTGAACGACAAACAAATTCTGGAATTACTATTGTTGTCAGTTGAGTTGGAATGAAAAACCAATTACCCCATGCTGCATCTTTTGATCCGTGTAAAATTTCACAAGAATATTGCCATATTTCTAAAATGACCTATGTCAGATATGTAATCTTACTTCACCGGGACTTAGTTCTTTGGCAGCGCCACTCACTTTTAAATCGAAAAATTTGTTCACCATCATCTTATGAGTCTTAATTCTTTCATTTTTAGCCATGACACTGCCAGTTAAAGATTATTCTCTTATTAACAGGGGCAACAAATCGGCCTCATGAACTGGATGAAGCAGCAAGGAGGCGACTCACTAAAAGACTCTACATCCCCTTACCGTCATCAGGTTCCAAACTTTCAGCCATACGTCTCTCACAACCTGTTCACTCTGAATCACTACAAAAATCATGACCGTCTTTCGGTTTCTTGATGCAGAAGCAAGAGCCTGGATAGTACGTAACCTGTTACAGAAAGATGGGTTGTTCAAGCTGTCACAAGAAGAAATGGACACCATTTGCAATCTCACTGAAGGTAGTAGTCATTAGTCAGTTCATCATACACTTGAGCAAAGCTGGATATCCCAATCCTCTAACAATTTTCACTTTTGCTTGCTTGGTTACTAGGATACTCGGGATCAGACATGAAAAACTTAGTGAAAGATGCATCAATGGGCCCTCTTAGGGAAGCTCTTAAACAAGGAATAGAAATTACTAAGCTGCAAAAGGAGGACTTGCGGCCCGTTACTCTTCAGGTATAATCTACCATCTCTTTAATTTACTACCACAAATCACTGCAGTTACTTTTCACATTGCTGGTATTTTAACACGGTAAGTTTTCCTATGTAGGACTTTGAAAATGCATTACAAGAAGTAAGGCCCTCTGTTTCACTGAATGAGTTGGGCGTCTACGAGACATGGAATAAACAATTTGGAAGCTTAGCCCTGTAATTCAGGTACGCTTCCTTCATCCAAGTGCCCTCCCCATCGGAGTGTGATTAACTCAAGCAGTCTTACCAGCCGATTGGACTGTAAAAACCACCTATAATCATTTAGACTGCATAACACACAAATATTATGAAAAATTTACTCTTAGGTAAGTTAGTAGTAGTCTTATTATTAGTTTCTTTTTCATCCCACATTTTCCAAATTGTATTTGGATGATTTGGATTTTAGAATGATAAAAGACTTATTAAGGAAAAAGTTATGGCACTTGAAGTTGAATGATTGAGATAAAGCTGGTGGGCTTTGTCCTTTCATACTAGAATACGAAAAAGTTGTGTTTGATAGAAAGTGCCTTTTTCATTTTAAAGAGGTTACTAAATTCTTTTAAATTGTTAACTGAGTATTATATAAACATGAATGCCGAGTATTGCGTATATATTTTAGTCTTCTATATATATTATTATTATGGTCGATTCCTCTTATAAGATTGTTTTTTATGCTGATATATCAGGTAGTGTTGGAAATCTTATCTTTCTTTTCAATTAGCCTTCCTTTTAGACTTTATCTCCCTTCAAATTTTCATGATCCTAACGAGATTAAAATCGTAAAGAGAAGATCTAATTTTCACACTATTAATATATTTGAATAAATTTTTTAATCAATACACTAAAACCAAATTAATGACGGTACAAAAATGTATTTGGTATTAATGACTAAACTGTCATGGACTAGCATATATGAATAAAATTGTGACCTTCATAATTTATAAAAATGTATTTGGTATTAATGACTAAACTGTCATGGACTAGCATATATGAATAAAATTGTGACCTTCATAATTTATGGAGATCGTTTGTGCCCAGATCAAGGACTGATCTTGGTTTGGACAAGGCCGGATCAATAACTTTGAAGAGATGTGATCTGATGGACCATGTCCACGCCCACGTTTATTTTTTAATCTGACCACGAGTCTTGTTTTCGAGTTCTGGAGTTGGGACAGTATGTAGGGCACTGAATAAACAAATAAACAAATACTGACTTGACTGAGACTGAGACTGTTTCTCCCCAGAAGTTTCCTCGTGTTTGTTTGGCCATTAAAGCACCAATTTGCTCCTCCAATCCATGTGAGGCAATAATAATAAGTCACCTAGGCTATGTCCCAAAGCATGCATCTTCTCCTTTCATTTCTCGACCCAATAAATTTTAGATCACCGTCTAGGCTTTTCATCATTGATAACATTGTTTATGGTTGGTATACATGATTTGATTTAGTTCAAAATCTTACATATAGAAATGGATATCAATCGGGTCGTAAATAAAAAATATTTGGTGAAATTCTTCATAATTAGATCGATAAGACAATTGACTCATTTCAATTTTATCTAACTTTCATTCAATTAGATTTAAATGTAAACTCATAAAACACAACAAAAGTTAGGAACAATGTAATCAAAATTGAATTAATTTATCCTTTGATTTTTTCGATTCGATTTAAACACGAATTATATTCGATTTGATTTTTAATATGAAGTGAGCTTAGTAGGGGTGTCAGTTTGGTTTGGTTGACCAAACGAAAACCTTTAAGAAACCGAAAAATCAAACTAGGTTGTTTCCCCAAAATCAAAATTGAACCCGATGGTCTCTTAACCAGTTCGGTTTCAATTAGAACAAATCGAAAACCAAAATCCATGCACCCTCAATCAAAACTGATACCCTTTGCACCTCTCACCTAATAATTCTGTTTTGGTTTCTTATATGATTTTCGATTTAAATCGAAATCGATAAAGTACAAAACTGAATTGGGATAGAAAACCCATCTTATCAATTTAATTTCTGTTTAAACCAAAAAAAACAAAATCAATATCCCAACCCTATGAGTGTAGTGACATGGTCATTCCTCCACTAATATGCAATCATATTCATTGATTTTCTAAAACCACACTTATGGTTTGGTCTTTGGAGAGGTAATGAATGATGGAAGAATAATTCCATGTTACTTTACAATTATCCACTCATAAAATATCGTTACAATTGACTTTCAAAAAAAAATTCATGATCTCCCCCTCCACTACCCTCACCTTGTCTCAGTTTTACTTTGACACCTCCTTTTGACCAAAACATTTAAGCCGCCGGCCATGTGAGCCGTCAAAAGCGGCACGTACACCGGCCTCTTTTGACTCACCGGCCGGATCTCAAACCGCCGCAGAATCGATGCCACCACATACGTCATCTGCACGAACGCCATCTCTTTCCCCAAACACACCCTTGGCCCCGCCTGAAATATTGGGTACTTGTACGGACACACCCTTTTGAGCTCACAACTCTTCTCTTCATTATCAACAAACCACCTCTCCGGCCTAAACTCGAACCAGTCCTTCCCCCATAGCCCTTCCATCCTTCCCATACCGTACGGGAAGTACGTCACCCGATCCCCGGCCCTCACCGGAGTATTATCCGGCAACAAATCGTCCACGACGGCGTGTTTGGAGTCCCACACCACCGGCGGGTACAGCCTCATTGACTCGCACAAACAAGCCTTCAACAGCTTCATCTCTTCCAACGCCTCCGACGTCGTCGCCACCCTCTTACCTTCCTCCACCACCGCCGACTCCATTCCCCGGTGACTTGACAGCAGCCAGAACAACCACGTCATCGCCGCCGACGTCGTGTCCCTGCCCGCCATGATCAAGCTGATCACGATATCTCTAATCTCCACATCCTCGTACCCTGCCTCGATCAACCTCGACAGAAGATCTTGATCGTCATCGTTATTGTTCCCCATGACCTCTTTCTTACTAGCAATCATTTCACTCACCGCCTTATGAACTTCCCCGACGGCTTCTTTCAGCTCCCTCTCCGACCCAACTCCGAGCAACCTCTTCAGCTTCCACACCACACCCAGCGGAGCCGCCCCTCTCCTGGCGCAGATCGTCGACGCGACGTCAAACGCCTTGCTCAGCTGCTGCTCCGGTTCCTTAGGGTCCAAGCAACACCTCTCCGCTCCAAGAGAAACCCTACACACCATATTAAAAGTCAACCTCCTCAGCAACTCCTGCAAGTCAACCACTTTCTCGGTCTCTGCCAAGCTCTCCATCATGGGTACCAGCTCCTTCTCCACCTCTTCCTCTAGAGTCGTGATGAAGAACTCCTTTAGCGACCTCGCCGTGAACTCGTGGCTCACAAGCTTCCTCTGCGCCCGCCACGCGTCGCCGTCGACGTTGAAAATGCCGTACCCCAAGAAGTCGCCGAGGATGTCGGTGAAGGGTTTCCCCTTGGGGTAGTTTGGGAAGTTGGTTTTGAGGATGTACTCGACGTTGGAAGGGTTGGCGGTGACGATGGTGCGGCGGGCGCCGAGGCGGGTGATGACGATGGTGTTGGTCGGGGATTGGGAGAGGAGGGCTGTGTACCAGTCGAGGAGGCGGCGGCGGTTCTTGTAGAAGGAGATGAGGCAGCCGATGAGAGGGTATGTCGGTGGCCCGCTGATGACGTGGCGGCGGCGGCGGTGGAAGGAGATTATGGTGGTGATGAGGGAGAATAGGAGGGAGAGGTAGAGGAGAAGGGGAGACATTGGAGGAGAGTTCATTGTTGTGTTGTGTTGGGGGGAAGGAAGGAAAGAGAGAAGAAGCATGTGAAAATGATGGGTTGAGGAAGGAGACATGTGGGTTTCTTACGGTTATAACGACGGCTATTATCTTGGTTTTGGATTAATTCGCAAATGAGACCGTGAGGTTTGGGAATCCATAACGATATGATTTTGTTTTTGAGTTTTTTTATGAAAGATTTATAAAATGGAATGGTAAGAATTAGGATTAGTATTGTGTTAGTTCAAGTTGTTTTGAACGTTTAAGATGGATGATAGAAGAACTAAGTTTTCAATGGAAAAGAAAGATAATATCATAGTTAGTAAATACTCCGTTTAATACACGTATATGTACCCGTACGTACTTTATCCGTTTAAAACTTCCGTATCCGTATTATTGTCAAGCCGTTTCATTTTCCCCCGTTCATTTCATGGTTCCCGTACTAAACACGTATAAAACCCGTATAACACGTTTATTATCCGTATTTTACGAATTAAATTGTTAACTTTACTATTATTTATATATTTATTTATTTTTAAAATGATTAATTTTATATATTTATGACTATTAACGTACTATTAAACGTAATTTTAGCTTAAAGATGAAGTATAATGCCCGTACGTATCTTTTACGTAACTTTCCCGTACCGTATTTTACTAACTATGGATAATATTGGACCAAATTCTAAAGGTTGGATAGAGTTGTTTTGTTATTTTATGCTAACGTGTCTTTCTTTAGTTAATTAATGAAAAGATAAGTGGTAAACACATGTTTTTCTTCGAAATATGACTGACATTTTTTATTTGATTTGTTTTGATCTATTTTGAATGCATTAAAAGTGAGTTTTTTTTATTGTATCTTATCTTGACTTATAATATCTAACTTTTAATCTATTTATAATGTTGGGAAAAGAAATTTAGAAAGTAATTACTGGAGACTAAATCAGTAGGCGGTCTTTAGCATTATGAAATGTTAAATCATAACTTTAGTAACTTTAATATAAAGTGTCGTAACGTTAATTTTTCCGGTACAAGTTTCTATACGTTCTTTTAATCCTCGCTATTTTGAACTTGATTTTGTTTAAGAAGATAATCTCTCATAATAAAAAATACTCAAGAATAGTAAATAGCAAAAAGCTTGTTAATTATGAGCCGGTAAAGTAACAAACACACTTAAACTTATCGAAAATGACAATAACCAATATGACAAATCCAATGGATGGGGAGGGTGACAAGAAACTTCTTGAGGGGTTATTGTTTGAACCTAACTGAGTGTAGGAGTGAGGTTCGAATGAGAGTTTGGGTCGAGAAGAAACGTGAGAGCCGGGTTTGATCGGGGGAATCAGAATCAGAGAGAGAGAGTGAGCGAGAGATTAGAAAGAGAAGTAGTTCTTGTAGAGAGAGAATGGTGAAAAATGCGATCCCCCCTCACCCACCGGAGTAAATGCCATATTTATAGGCTACATGGAGGTGGGTGAACGGGTGGATTACATGATGGGACTTTTGACCCCTGATGTGACCATTGACATGTCAGGGATTTAGGCCATCCCCCTACCTAGGACCTGTCTGGGGTGTACCTACGACTATGTCTCTGATCCCAATGCGGCCGGCCCTTGGGAAGTGTGCGAGGGAGGCTTCTTGCGGCTTTGTGGCTCGCGGCGCGTCGGGGCTCCCGCGCCTTAACCCCTTTCCACTCGCGCGCAGCTTGTGGAGGACTCTGAGTACGCGCGCGTCATTTCTCTCTACTCGCGCGACTACAAGCCTTCGTGCGCGCCCTATCTCAGCGCGTCTTGCCTTGGCGATTAAGCCCGAGTCACATGCCCAACAATTGCCCCCCATCAGAGGGTGTTCTGAGGACGCCCTCTGTTTAGGTCTTTGCTTGATTGACTCGGGCCCGGGGCGCGGTTCTTGGGATTCTTTGTGCGCGCCTGGCCGTTCCGTAGCCGCGTTAGGATATCAGTTGTAGTCGTCTGATAGTGCGCGCCGGTCGTGGGATTCTGATTCACTTGAGATGCGTGCGCGATCTTCGCGGGATTTTTTTTTTTTCTTTTTCCTCGCGGGTGTGCCATGCCCCCCAGGCGCTGTGCGTAACTAGTTATGTCAGCGGCTAGAGCCTACTCCGAATAGGTGTCCACGTGTCCTTACCTGGTTCGTCCGTTTGGGCGGGCGAATTTCGAATTTCGAAATTCGAAACGTCTGACGGTTGCGATTTTCGAGGTTACTTTAACCCTTCAACTTCCCTCTAATAATTATAAGTATCGACCCGTTGTGTGGGTTGGGATTCATTCTGCTTCATTCTTCACATCTGAATTCTGCTCTGTTCTCTCTCGTGTTCTGGTTCATCGCCGTAATTCTTCTTCTTCTTTTACAATCTTGAGCCTTCGATCCTTGTTCTTGTTGCTGTTTCTTGCTATCATGGACAACATCAACACCAACGCCGGCGAGGTTGAGATCGTACACGACGAAGAAGGTAATGTTTCCCCCCTTTCACGTGTTTCTTCTGATCCGTCGCTGGAATTGGCGAACTCCGGCGATGAGGACGGTGGTGTGTCCGGGGACGGCGGGGTTCCGTTGACGCCGTCGGGGCGAGTCGACTCGGATTCCGATTTTCTCCTTGAAGAGACAGAGGTAGAGGTAGATGGAGATACCGGTCCGAGTACCCGGGCCCAGGGCGTCTTAATAATCCGACGCGGGAGCGACGGGGGGTCCGGGGGAGCTGGTACTGCGGGCGCGGCCGAGCGCGAAGAGCGCGAAGATTCCGATACACAATCCGCGCCGATCATCGCTGAGCCCGTCAACGTGGTGCGCGTGACCGAGGCAATGAGCCGCCTTGGTCCCCGTTGCGTGGACGCGGTCTACACCGTCTTGGATTGGGCAGAGATGTGGGGCGATCAGCCGGCTCCGCATGATAACTTGCTGCGGGGGCCTGACCATTCTTCGATTTACACGCGCGAAGACGTCGAGGATATTGTGCGCGGGTTGGGCTTGCCTCCGCATTGGGAGTACGCGGTGCCTTCCGTTAGGAGCACGGTTGGCAATTGCCCCCCAGGGTGGTTCGGGGTTTATACTGAGTACTGGGTGATGGGCTTCAAGTTTCCCATCGACCCATTGTTGTGCGCCTTATACAGGCGTCTCGACTGCTCAGTTGGACGCCTTTCCCCCTCTATTATTATGCACGTCTCGTGTCTGCGCCTTGCCTGTAAGCGGCTCAACATCCAGCCCACGTATGGGCTGTTCCGCCAGTTCTACAAGATCAAGGAGCCCAGTAAGACAAGCGACTGCCTGTCCATAAAGCGGCGCGATAACAGGCCTGACGGGTTCGTGTATGGTTCTCCCAAGCTGAAGAAGACATGGTTTGAGCGCTTCTTCTACGTCAAGCCAGTGGCGGGGGAGTGGGCGAGTGAGCGCGTGGATGAGCCCACGGTGTGGAAGAAGGGTTCTACCAAGAAGTTCGAGTCGCGCGTTGACTCGTATGATGGGCTTGATCGGGAATATCAAGCCTGTTTGAATCAGAAGATGAATCTTTACACGCGCGGAGTCCGCGAGGCCATCTTGCAAGAGCTTTTTGCTGATGGTTAGTTATTTTCTTTTCCCTTTGTATTCTGTCATAATTAACAGGTTTCTTACGATATTTTGTTGCAGGCGTCGATTTTGCCGACCTCGCGAGCATGATGTCGGTGGACAATGTTGCGAGGGCGCCTCGCGCATCGCGGAAGGGGAAGAAGAAGCAGAAGGAGGGGGCGCAGAGTAGTAACGCGCCAGCTGGCGGTTCTAAGAGGAAGGACCGAGGGCAACCCAGCAGTGCTCCCGCGAGTGGCGGGAAGCGAAAGGAATCGGCGTCGGAGAAGGAGCCGGCTGGTGGGCACCCGCAGAAGGCTGCGCGGGTTATGGACCCGAAGGAGCGGATCACGTCAGTGCCGGAGACGCGCGTGCAGGAGGCGCGCCAGCAGCCTTTGGTCGTTGCCGATCCGGCGGGGCAGGTGGATAACTCCCCCCGCCCAGAAACGGTGATGGCTCCTAGCGGCTCTGGGGCTAGTGGGCAGCGGAAGCTCTCCGACATGTTGGGAGGCGTCCCCGGGGTTGATTATTACCGCAACGTGCGGCTGCATACTGGCGCTGCGTGTAATAGTCAAACCGCGCAGGCTGCTCTGCGGGCGGTTGGACCCGTGCTGAGCATCCCTCCGCGGTTCGAGAAGTCGGATCCTTTGCTGGACTTGGCTCAAATTCATTGGGCGGTAAGGTTCTGTTCTGGCATACAATCTTTTTGTTTTTCTTTCGTCATTGACTCCCCGTTTTTTCTAAGTTGCTGGGTGCTGTTCGTGTAGGGTTTGCTGGCGACCTTCCGCGCTCAGCAGGACCGCACTTCCACTCACACAAGATTGAAGGCGGGCGAGTCTCGCATTGTGCAGTTGGAAGGGAAGCTTGCTGGCGCGGAGACCCGCGCCGAGGTAGCCACCAACGAGGCCAACAAGGCCTTGACGGAGTTGGGCGTGTGGCAGAGCCGCCTTGAGACTGCTGTCGAGGCTGCGAAGGAGCGCGTCCGAGCTGAGGAGCGCGACGCCATCAGGGCGCAGCTGCAGGCTCAGTTTGCTGAAGAGAGGAAGATGTTGGCGGAAGACTACGAAGGAAAGTTGAAGGAGGTCCGCGAGGGCTTCCAGAAGGAGAAGGAGGACTTGGTCCGACTTCATGGCGTGGCGAAGGCTGAGGCCGTGCGCGAGGCCCAGGTCGCGGCGATTCGTCAGTATAAGTCGTCCCCTCCTTTTGGAAGGATTATGGCGGACGCCATGACGAAGGCCGTGATCGCGGTTGGGAAGAAAGTCCGCCCTGAGAACCCCGGTCTCAGTTGGGACACTCGCGCTATGGTCGAGCACGTGAAGATGTGGATAAGTCAGAAGAAGTCCATGTCCGAGTCGGAGCCCGAGGATGACGAGGAGGAGGAAGAGAGCGCGGATGATGAGAGCGCGGGCAAGGAGGGCTCCGGAGGCACC